TGGATGCACACAGTGCAGTCGCTACGATTTGGAGCAGTACATCGATTACGAATCTGACTTCCACCCAGCTCTCCAGTTCACATCTACCATCAGTGAACTGGAATTGCCGTTTCTCGATACCAAATTGAGTATTAACGGTGACAAGTTACAGACATCGGTGCACTACAAAGAAACTGACACGCATAACTATCTCCCTTACTCGTCACTCCATCCTGATCACTGCAAGGGGGCAATTCCCTACAGTCAGTTTCTTCGACTTCACTGATTTCATGAACAGAGCCACAGAGATGAAGGAATACTTCCGGGCGCGTGGTTACCCTCATAAACTTGTTAACAACGATCTAAGAAAAGTCTCCACCGCGCGCTCCACGCTTCTCACATCAACACCAACAAACCACAATAAAAGCACTAATAACAAAGTCCCGTTGGTATTAACGTATATCCATTCAACGTCGGCACCAGACGGATCTTGCTTCACAATTTCAACATCTTGTCCTCCGACCCCGAGGCACGCAGGATTTTTCCCGAACCTTCGCTAGTATCATATCGGTGTGAGCGAAACCTCGGTGATATCCTCGTACACTCCGCTGATGCCTCGCTGTCTCCCACTGATGCCGGTTCATTGCCCTGCCGACGGCCTTGATGCCAGACGTGCAAGCCCATAACTTCTCAGACTTTTCTACAAGGGCCGAAGAGCGCACATAACATCCGTGACCACTTCACCTATCAGTCTGAGAATGTTGTGTATTGCATTTCTTGTCGTCGCTGCAATTGCCTAAACATCGGAGAGACTGGAAGGCGACTACGGGAACGTTTCAGCGAGCACCTCCGCAGCATTCGAAACCGATCGCGCGGGTTTCCCGTAGCTGAACATTTCAACTTCATGCGTGCGCTTTCCGTGCCCACGTACGCGTACAGTTTTTTGTATGGCGTGGCTAAATCCACCTACTGAAGGAGGGCTAAGCCCGAAACGTTTAGTTTTTCAGAACAAATTTGACACTTTTCAGAGTATTTTAGCCTTATATACAACTTTTCAGCAGTGTCACGCATCGTATGAGTTTTTAGCTCATTCCTACTGAATGTCCAATAACAAACTGTCCAATAACATACTGTCCGATAACAACTTGGCAAGTGAATTAGTGGAAAATAGGAGTTTTTTAAACCAATCACAATCGAGGAAATTGTAATTTTTATGATTAACCGTGAAATATGTTTCAACGACATACAACAGAAATAAAACCCAAGACAAACACGAATGGTAACCAACACCGAGAAAAACCTCTCCATTCAGAGCCATTTCTGAAGCGTCGTAAGGTCAGTTACCAAACTCAGAAAAAGGAATTGTTTCGCAGCGAGGAAAATTCTGTGCGGTTTAACCTATGGCAATTGTTGAAAAGTCGGTTAACGTTCAACTGAGAGCTAATAAAGGATTTCATTTCTATTGCATTTAAGCATTTTTTAGTATCAATGCTTTGGGAAGTTTAACATGAAAACAAAACTTATTCCAGATTGAACAACTTAACTCTACACAGAGGTTGACTACACCTTGAGATTGTTATTGTTGCTGCTGTCATGATGATACTCACAGAGCTGGAAAAACTGGAACATCTTCAGCCTCCTCTAACAGTAGCGCCAGCTCGATATCGATAAACTCTCTTCGGATGACAGTGTGTTCGTTAAAGGGGCACGTCTGTTTGACTTCCCCTGTATCCATGTCAACCAGAGTACTGGGAAGACTGCTGGTGATGATTCCCTTCACTGGAAGACTGAATGATTCCTTGGAACTCTGACGCATAATGATAAATATTATTATTATGTTATTATAACCAGGAAAAGAGGAAAAGAGCCCAATTCTCCACTAGGAGACCGGAACAATGATGATGATGATAACCAGGAAAAACAATCGCATTATTGAGTGATGGAATAAGCATCTATATTAATAAAGAATTAGTTCATGCTTAGCGTGCGTATATCGAGTTATGGATGCACTTGGGAAGTTTGGAGAGCACTCAAGAAGCGTCTAGCTTCTTGAGTGCTCTCCAAACTTCCCAAGTGCATCCGTAACTCGATATACGCACAGCTAAAAGCATGAACCAATTCTTTCATAACATGGCGACAACAACTTAGGGGCAAAAACATTTTTTTGTGATTGCCTAAAAAGTTTTCACAATGCACGGTGAAGGGAAACAAAGGTCATTAGGATCCTAACACGCCTCACTCAGTTGAGCAACAGTTGAACGAAAACGCTTAACCTGGTTCAGTTCTAAAATTGTCAATGAGAAATTCGCTTGTTACACAAAAGCAACTTGAACTAAACTCGACGAAAATTTTGCAGCTAAATCGAAACTGCACACGTCATACCATATACGCACGGCAGTGTGTATATGGAGATTTCGTTCATGATGGCTCAATAGGAATAAGGTAGGACTAGCGCGCGCAGCCATCATTGTTCACCCTGTTCGATTTGTTTCTAGATTACATATACTGTCCAACTTCATTGAAAAAATGTATTGTGCAAGGGATCATGTGCTGTCCAATTTGGGTGATAACTGTTTCTTGATAAAAACAACAGCCTAAAGACAGGTAGAGTACAATAAGCACGGTAACTGACTCGCTAAACATTGTCTGTACCTGTACACAAGTATACAAAGTAACAAAAAAGGGTTTCTACAGAATGGGTACAAACTTAACTGATAAAATTAATAGGTAACACAGCAGTACCTTTAACAGGCCTTGAACAAACAAATCAGAATCGTACAAGTCAGAGTCATTGGATAAAGTCTCTACTGCATATCGTGATCGCTGGCGTTCCTCAGAAGACAACAGTAAGGCCAAGGTGTTAACCATCTATAATGAATAAACAAAAGTTATTCACATCTGCATCACAAATAGGCCACATTCGATATACAATATTCTGACCTGGCTACGAGGCTTTCAGGACAAGCTTCTATGTTTGGTGGTGTTTTCTTTGTTTCCAAGTCTCTTTTGGGAATCGCAAGACAAACAGAAACTTAAAACATTTGCAATTTTGACCCGAAAGCCTCGGATCCATGTTAGAATATTGATATATCGAGCGTGGCCCATTTAAAATCAGCTTCATGAAAGGTTGAACTGTTCATCTTCAATAAAACTCGTCCTGAATTCAAGACCAGTCTGTAGTATCTCAATACACTACAGCACAAATAGATGCAAAATAAAATCAATGTTGAAAATATTTCAGTAGAATGGAGTTAGTTGAAAGCATGATAAAGACATGAAAATACTGCTCAGAATCTTTCACTGCACTCACACTCTAAGGCTTCATCACCGTCAAAACTTGGAAGAACAACACACGGCAAATAAAGAACCAAGTCAAAATAAGCTTCTCAATAACTTAACAAGTAAACAGCATCACAAATTAGAGCTTACAAGTTATTGAGTACTACATTCTCCTTTTGGTTTAAAAGCGTTTGAATTTACCAAGTTGACTTTATCCAAGGCTTTCCCTACAACAAGAGTACTGCCAAATGTCTGTAAATGTGATGTGATGACTCTGTCAAAACAAAATAAGGTGCAAGAAAATTATTTTGTTTAAGCCCTTTCACTGTTAAACAAATATTTCAATGCAGCCACTCTTTAATCCATCACTTGACATAGGTAAGGACAAGGGATAGGTAGCAACTCACATTTGTTGAAAATACTGGGTGTGGCATAAGTTTAAGACTGTTCTACAGTCAAACCTCTATTAAGCAGTAAAAATACTCTAAATAAAACCCCTATTTAGTATTAACCGGCTACTGCTATTAAGTAGCTGCGGCCGCCTTTGGGTCGTCCTGATGAGGGTTTTTCTACTGTCTTTACCTCTATTAAACAGCCACCCAAAATTTAAAAACTTTGTTTAGGAAAAGGCAGTGGCAGATAAGAGTCCGAAATAGAAGGTGACAAGTGATAAAAACATTCAAACACATTTATCATGATTGTCTTGAAGTGATGCCATGTTCACTAAGAAAGTAACCCCATGGTGAAAAATATTGAAGGTACACCTCTGTTAAGCGGCCAACCCCAATTAAGTGGCCACCAATTAAGTAGCCACCTCCCATTTCTCCAAATTCTAATCAATATTGGAATTTTTACAGAATCTTCCAGACACTCCTGCAGGGGTTGAGCTTCATTTCTCTCTACATGAAAGTAACTCAGTGCAGCTTTCCTAATCCTTCATACATGGCAGAATGTTTTTTTGCTTTCAGAAACCCACAGAGAAATTCCTACACAAAAAAAAAACTACACAGTGTACATTTGTGTCTAGAAGTCGTTCTGGGAGTTATGAAAAGTACACAAACTTTCAAGCATATCATTTTCTTACAAACCCTAAAAAGATGAGACAGTGTACCTTCTTAAGAAACGGTCATCAAAAATGCCAGCTTGACCTGGTCCAAAGGCAGTCTCACTCAACTAAATCAAAAACAGAGCAAGTTGAAACAAAATTGCACAAAAAACATACATGCCACCTACATGTATAAGTTAGTGTACTAATTAAATTACAGTCAATTGCTGTAAAACTGCCATCCACTCAAGTTTTGCACTTTATAGTTAGTACATCAGATACTCATTGTGCTCTGTTACAAATGCAGGATTTTGGTTGGTTCTGTGATCATTGCACCACCACCACCACTTTGCAGCATGTGGTTCACAACACCCCTATTTGCCAATAGGTATGGACAAGACAGCAAACATTGCTCTTGAAACAGACAATTACCCTTGATTTTTGACTGAAAAACATTATCTCGAATTGCATTTTCTGAATATCCTTCCCCAGCTAAAACAGTAACCCCATTATCTATGAAGAGTATCTCATGATTTATGAATTTGTATGAATATTTATCTCCTCAGGGGACACTTTCAAAATTGCTGATCAAAGTACTGTAGTAAACAGGATGAGTGACACACATGAAACTAGTAAACAGCCTAGTATAGCTCACTACGAGTCTCTCTGTAGCTAAGCAGATGACTGGATTTTTTTCAAGCAGACGCATGAACATTTCATCTTTCACAATAGCCAACTTTGCTGCTCCTTGTCAACTCGTCTTTAAAAAAAATGGCTAATAATTGAACATATTTGTTTAATGCTCACTGGAATTGACTCAGGGATTCCTGTTGTCTTAAGGCTTGTAATGGTCTGAATGAAGCGTGGTAGATACACACTGAATGCAGGCAGGGCAGATGATAAATCCTGTGATACACAAAAATCAAAAGTTAGAGAATACAGTGGAATACGACTTTAAAGACAGCATTCTCATTGTAGACAACTTTGTTTGTCACTGTGAAAAGCTCATACGTCTTCTCTTACATTAACCCACTTAGATGCTTTTTGGTGATCTAGGTGAGATGTCTTCATACAAAGTTTACCTTGCTATAAGGACACTGGTCTTTCCACTGTATATTTTCATTTCGTGCAATCATGTGCCAATTGTACAAGTACACTGTGCAAAAATGAAATCTTTCTCTAATGCAATGCTTCTGACTTAATTCAGTTGCATTTGAAACTGACAAGAGAACATTACTTTTGAGTGATACAGGGTTTTCATTTAAGACTTGGCATTGGGCAAATTGACCAGCTTTGAGGACAATGTTGCCCGGCTGGTTTGACCATCTAGTGGAAAATTTTGTCTCACCAAGCAGTTCAGGTCTAATAGTTCTGCCCACCTGTGAAAAATGTTGAAAATGGTAATGAAACCCCTGGTGATAGACATTTAACTACTTGAAACTGGGTGCTCTTTAGTGTTTGAACTTGAATTACACTCAAAGCATTACACATTGATCTCGTACTTCTAAATTGTGTACTTTAAAAGTTTTTACATTAACAAATCATGCGTCTGTGATAGAAACCTTGAGCTTGCTCAGTCTAATTGTTCACTTTCCTGTAGTCTGCACCATATGTTGCCCGCACCATAGTATGATTAACTATAATGATTAACTAGTGAGTGGGGGCGCAGGGATCCCATCGCACCCTGCGCTCACACTCCTCACTCACTACCAGCTCCCGCTCATGCCCTTTTGCTCACTCCCAGTCTCCCAATTGCTCTTTGTGCCAAGAAAAAATAAGAAAAGCCTGTGGAGGAGGCAGGTAGTCCACATTATAAATAAGCAGCTTAACATGAAATCATTTGGTGAGCAGATGTCACCATCTCGGCATTTACATATGTTGAATTTTATCATCTCATTCACCCTAAAACTTTCTTAATATGTACCTTGGCTTGCAAAACTCTCAGCTTTGCTATAAGGATCTTTACTCGTTCTTCCACAAGCTCGATAAAAGGCAAGTAGCTCTTGAATTCCGAGAATGGAATAATGAGGGACAGGCCAGAAACATTGGCACCAGACTTGTCACAGCCAGAGAAAATAAATGAATGGCATACAATGCCATGATCCTTAAGCACAAACAGTTTTGTGTCCACCATGTTTTCAGGGGCATCTCTCAATAGCTCTCCATGAAGAGTTCGACCCACTACATATTTAACGCTTGCTTCCTGTCAAATGAAAAGTAAACGTTACAAAAGTATAAACCAAGGAGGTGTGATGTGCTAAGAAGACACAACCTGCAAAAGCTGCAGGTTATTCCTCACTGGCAACAATTTTATTTAAAATTCTTGCTTGGTAATTGAAGGGTTTTATGCA